ATGATTCATTAAAGGACAAGGTTTTTTAGCTGGTTTTATCCAGCTTTCAGGGCAGCCTGACAGTGGGACATTTGATCTCAATTGCAAAGTGGCCCATTTCCCTCAGACATCACCACTGCAGTCTGTTTCAAGAGCCTAGCTCTGCCTTTTGGCGTGCTGGCCATGGGGCAATCAGCTGTTCCTATTTCCAGCACCAGTGTTTACAAATGGAAAATGTGTGTTGTTTCGGGAGGGAAATGAGGACCATTTTGGACAGACGATGTAAGCAGAAGATTACCTCGGAGCCCAATAGAAATGAATCAGGTATAGATTGATGGCAGCCACGGCTCATTAACAAGGAATGTGTGTGTGTGTTTAATTGATGCACTAATTCTCAGCCACTCAGGAAATGGCCCTTGGGTGGGTCTTCCAAATGGCACACAAATATTTACTAAGGACACAAACATTTTTGTAAGCACATCCATGCAAGCCTGGGCATGAAAGGTGAGGGGAGAGACTATCCGGGTCTGTGATACAGTGCAGCAATATCATCACCGTACTAGCTAGTTTGGCTGGGTCCTCTTCCAGTCAGCTGGGCTCTGAACCGCTTAGATGACTCATCAGTGTGCATGAATTCCTCTATGCTCTCTCTCAACCCCAAGAACTCTTTGTACTGATGAGTGCAGATGAAGTTAAAGTCCGCCCCCGCACTCCTCGTCCAAGGCCAGATGCAGGCCAAGAACTTAAGCACTCCGGTCCCATTTTGTTCAAGTCTGAAATGTTAGCAGTCAGTCATCACACAGTGTTCCTCGCATTCAATGGATCGCCTGTGCTACTTAACACAAGAGGACTGACTTTTCAGCATTCATCACATATTACATTTCCTTTATGTGGGGTACATCCATGGGTTTCTGTGTGGGGGCGTGTGTGTGTGTGCTATGCATGACTTGTTTGGTCAGTGCATCCTAAGAAGTGGGTCAGAGTGCCCTAGTTCTCATTGTGTGTGTGTGTGTGTGTGTTTGTGTGTGTGTGTATATTGCATTTCAGTGTTATTCTGTCCTGATTGACTTATCTGCAAAAACATTTTCTTGCTCTGGCTCTCCTGCTGTTTGGTAGCATGTTATTCTCTTGTTTACCCCTCTCAAGGTGAACAAGAGCTTTTAATTCAACTTTCCTCCGGTGCACCCGTTCACTGGTGGAAGGCCTGGAACAACTGCATTTGGTCAGGTAGCTTATGTTTTGTCTTATTTAATCATGTCAGGGCATATTGAATTTACAAATAGCGGTCACACGGCATGTGTAAGTGAGCTACCCTGTTGAGTATGTGCAGCAGGGCTGGGCTGCAGATTACATGATATAATAGTGTTTAGGCATCGCCTCTCCTTTTAAATTCCTTTAACCTTGACTCCCCTTAAATGCAGGGAGAACACATCTGCCAGGCTGGTGTCAGACATTAGTAATACACACCACTCGGGCAGCATTGTCACTTTTTATTAACGCCCAGAGCTTTGCATGGACACCAGCTGTTGCATCAAGTGGAAAAGCCTTAGCGGTATGAATGACCTTGACTTTAACTGCCGCTCCTTTGGCTCTTCCCCTTTTTAATTCTTTTGTTTGGTCTCATACATTTTAAATGGCTTAAATGGATTACCATTCCTGACAATGAAGGTCAGTTAGGAACTCACTTTTTTTAAGATCAAAAAAGGCTTTATTACCAGTGTGTTCATGACTGAGTGTCACTGGGTGGGGGTGGTGTGGGGGAGAGGGGGGAGGGGGGGTTATAATGTGGAGGTCAGTAGAGGAGATGAAGGTCATATTTTAAGATCTAATTCGTGACATCTGCATTGACACATTATTATGTCGACCTTCTGATAAATCTGTGTATCTTAGGAACCAGCTGAGAGTGTAATGACCTTTCCTGCTCCTGGTGTCTTTTTAAGTATACGAGGAGCGAAACACACAGAGAGAGAGAGAGAGAGAGAGATGAAGAGTCCACCATTCAGAGGATGATGAAGCTCTCACCCCTCCACATCACTTGCCCTCCCTCTCACACACGTACGTGGCTGACTATAGGGGCAAAAATCACTTTAGAGTGGTGCCTGCTCTGTCATTGGCTGACATTGTCAAGGATAATGGATAATCACCACAGAAACCGAAGAGCAGCTCATTGGTGCTGTGGTGTCCCATGGTGGGGGAGGGGGTGGGGGTGGGTGGTGGGTGTTGGAGGTCAGGCATTTTGGGTGCCACCACCTATGAGATGACATGTTAACAGATGTATAAGGTCATTTTCAATGTATACACCAGGGGAGATAATGTAATAGTAATGCACACATCACACACTCTGAGAGGGGAAAGGAGGGGGGGGCTGTTTGCTGTAGGGGTTCAGTACAGAGGACAGCTCTCCCTACATTAAGGTCATTTATTTGTTAACAGACCTCTGTCACTTAGGAGAACATATTTTTTCTTGCCCTTGCTGTGGCAGGACTTTTTGACACTGCTTCTGTCATTACACGTCTCTCAAGAGGCTGAACGTCCCCTCTTTTTTTTTTTCTTTTTTTTTTGCAGACTAATTCATACTTTATGTGAGACAGTGAATGCAGTAGTTCTGTTGTAGGAATATAAACTAATATAGTGCAGTATCAGAGTGTCCCGGTGCTGCCTTGTCTGCTCTGTATTGAAAGTTTCTTTGGGCAAAAACATAGACAAGGTCATGTTTAATTCCAAAGGGTCACTGCCGGCAGCAGAGAGATTAACAGAATTTCCCATGTTGAAAGCATGTCAGCGTTTCTTTTCCATTTCCATTTTTTCTCTCACTAACTACAGGGGCCGTATCATGACATTTTAGTTACTTTCCCAAGTTATTTTGAAGGTAAACATGTTTACTGTGCTAATCGATGTGGTGTTACAGGCCATTCTATTATAACTGCGTTAAGCTTACTGGCGGGAAAATAGCCCTAATCCTGAGCATCTAAGATTAGCATGACAGCAGACGTCAGATGGCCCAGTGTGACCAGGTTGGCTTTTGTTGTTGTCAGATTTAGGTCAACAGCTTAAAGATGGCCTTGAACTGTAATTGACGCTGATGGGCCCATCTCATTTAAGTTTTCCTATTCTATACAATAAGGCGGAGTCTGAAGAGTCTCATCAAACTGTGGACCGACTTGATTGTTTTCCACCTGCTACGCAGACTTAATTGCACACTGATGAACTTAAATCCAGCTTCTAATCCCAGCTCATTTTCAAGGTGTCATTAAAAGTGTCACTTTGTTGCCCTCACTGTCATGACAACCTGTGGACCTTGGCCACGGGGGTGGATTTCAACCTGATTATAAGCCTGCTGCCTTGTTGTTTTTGGCCCTTGCTACTGCTCTCTGTGAAGTATTTAGACTGGTGGCTGCGTGGGTTGCCGTGGCCTTTCGTCATAATCAAGGGCTGCTGTCCTGTTGTGTGACCTCTATGTTGGTCCACTCAGCGGACACCAAAGGTGAGGACAGCGTCGGGGAAAGGACACGAACAGCAGCTGAGGCGAGGTGGAAACTCTGTATTAATTAACCTTTATGGGATGTGGCCAGGACTGTCGGAGGTGTCCTGTATCCACGGAAACCACGCTGACAGGGTTCAGAGCAGAGGTCTCCCAGGGCAGCACCGCTGACACTGTCATGGCAACTGGCACAATGCTCACCCTGGTGTCACTGGCGCTGCCCTCCTGACAGTGGTGTGGTGTGACAGGTGCACCTGATCCTTAAGCCAGCCATACCCCTTGATACACAACACACACACACACACACACACACAAAATAAACACACACGACTGTCAAGTACAGCGTGTCCGTTAGCTGTATCCTTGCTGTGATTCTCCACTGCCTTTGTACTGTACTAGTAAACACAGCTCACATCACATCAGATCAGTTCATGTTTTGCTCTGATTTAAAAACAATTCAGCCTCAAAAGAGCCAAGCTCGATAAAGGATTCACAGCTGGCCAGGTGTTGCTGAGTAGCCGCAAGAATGGTTATCACTTTGTGCATGTGCGTCGGCAGTATGCACATCTGCATGCACGTATTCATGCGAGTGGGTGAGTGGGTTGGGCGGCCCCTGCTCTGTGTAGACTGAGGGTTTGCTTGGTGTGAGATGCTGCTCAAGTGCATAAGGAGCAGAAGGCGGTAGGGGGGATAATCCACTGAAATGACAAGCTGCATAAGAAATTATTCACAGCTCTCACAGGGCCCTTCACTTTTGAAAGACATCGCTGTGAGGGGCTTACAGCTCAAGACCTGAATGTTTTCAAGGTAGTGGTCTTGAATTTTCAATTTGGATCCAATCAGGCCTAATCTACATTTGTCGTCTGTTCGGTGGCTGTGAAGGGAGAGTGCAGAGAGGAGAGGGAGCCGTGTGCAGTCAATCTGAAATGTTGCTAAGTAACAGAGATGGCAGACAAGGTGGTGAAATGAATGTGATATAGTGCTTTGCAAATCCCTGCTTCTCACACAGTTTCTCCTTTTTCTCCTCTTTCCTTCCACCCAACCGTCCCTTCCCTCTGTTCTCTCTCTCGCTCTCTCCCATAGGTCCCCCATGTGAGATCTGCAAAGCTGAAAGGCGCCACTGACAGAGCCGCAGCCGGGCCTTAGGACAGACATCCCAAACATCCACAGCCACGGAATGTGTCAACATCTTTGTGGTGAAATCCCGCTGACTCCTTGCTTGCTACTCACATAAGCCTGGAGCTGGGCCTTCTGGGATCCTACGGTGTTTAAAGGCATACAACAATGCCTGGGAGGCCCACCTGCCCCAGATTGCCTCCAAATATGGCTGCTGTTTTATCACAGTGCTGACTGTGTCCACTACGGAGAGGGATCACATCCGGCCAGTGCATCCTTCAGCCTCCAGCAGACTCACTCTGTGCAATTCCCTGCCTTCTTTTTGTTATTTAGGAAGTACATGCCACTGTCAACCAGATGACCTAGTGGACATTTGTTTCCCAGTAGCCGTGCTGAACCATACGAGGGGATCCTAGTATTGAACATGACTCATGGGGAGGAGCCTGGCCCTGAGACACACAAGGATTCAGCTGTTCTAACTTATCTGGAAGGTTTACTGATGCATCCAGTGGTGGCCGGGCCTGGGGCCACGGCAAGCGGGAGATCTGAGGCTGCCCATAGCAACCAGGAGCAGGGTGACAAGGTGGGCGGGCCCTACCAACTGCCCAACCATGGCCCCACAGCTCCCAAGGCTGGAACCAATGGGCCCACACTAGGTTCTTCACAGCACCTGAAGAAGGCCCGCCTACTGCGCTCTGGAGCCTGGAATGATCCAGGGAGCCAGCGGATGAGTTCACCCCCAATGGAACTAAATGGTCAGGGGGGAGGCCTGCAAAATGGAGCTCTAGAGGGATCTCCTCATGCTGGGGAGAGCACCCTGTTGGCTTCTCTGCTTCAGTCATTCAGCTCACGGCTTCAGAGTGTGGCAATGTCTCAGCACTCTAATAAGCCCCCCAGTGAGTGCTCCTCTCCATCCAAGGCACCACCTGCAGACAAAGACCCACTTCCTGTGTATGGGACAGCCTCAAGCCGCTTGAAGGGGCTAATGAGGAAGAGCAAACTTCAAAATCACAGTAACACACCTTACAGTCGACGGGGACACAATCAGGACAGACCCCCTGAATCACCTCGGTCAGCACATAGTGCCACGCCCCCCTCTGCTCCAGCAACTGCTGAGTCAGTTTCCTGTGCGGAGCGTCTGAAGGCGGTGGCCAACATGGTGAAAATCCGTTCTAGTCCAGCACCTTCACCCAAGCCCAGCGTGGCCTGCAGTCAACTGGCACTGCTGCTGTCCAGTGAAGCCCATCTCCAGCAGTACTCCAGAGAGCACGCTCTCAAAGCCCAGCTCTCTGGAAGATCTGCCAGCGAGAGACTAGCTGCCATGGCAAACCAGCAACATGGCCAGGACAAAAGGCCACCTAGTGTGGGAGGGACTCTGCCTGGAGCCCCAGACACCCTAAGCTCCTTAACAACCCAAAATGGAATGACGGCAACGAACACAATAACAACAACACTCTCTCGAACAGCCCTGTCGAGTCCACAGAGCCCCTCTTTGCTGCGTGGCCACAGCCAAAGCTCCCCAGCCACTCCCCCACATGCTCCAAGCCACACTCACAGCCAACCACCGAGGGAGAAGCGAGGCTTTGACTCCCGTCCAACCCGCCCCCCCCAGACATGCAGCAGCCTGCTGCTCCTGCTACTCAACAACCACAACAACCAGAAGCAGCTGACCAAGAATGGGCACCTGGAGGACAGCTGTGGCATTCTGCCACCGAGCGGCTCCTCCTCCGTCACATCGGACAGCGAGTGCTCCACCCAGGAGAGGAGCATGACCAAGGACAGCAGTGATGCAGAGAGCTCCTACTCGAGTTGCTCTCCCATTGACCTCTCCATAAGAAACCGGGCCAACATACAAGACACAGGGCCCAAAACTACCACCCCCTCTTCCTCCTTCTCCTCCTTCTCTTCTTCCACCTCTACCCTCTCTTCTTCCACCACAGTGTTTTCTTCCACCCCAGTTGCATTCTCTCCTCAAGCCTCAGCTCAACCTTCCACCACAACCTTTTCTCCATCCTCTACCATTGTCTCCTCTGTTTCCAGTGCTATTTCTTCATCTTCCTCTTCCTCTATCTCTACCTCCTCCCTGGACAAACTAACAGAATCTTTAATAAACAAGTGGAAACCAGAGCCAAGTCAAGGATCAAAGTTGTCCAAGAACAAGGAGTCTGAAATGAGCCCAGACCTAAAATCCCACCCTAAGGTCACACTAATGCAGCTTCTTCTCGATCGCAGAAACAATGAGATGGTCAATAAGAGTGTAGGTAACCAGGATTTGCCACTTGATATATCTATGGCCACCATGTCTCGAAGCCAACCAAAGGGACTGGTGCCATGGGAGGAGACCAGGACAAAAAGCCCCACAGATAGGCCTGTAGCCCCAGCCCAGCCCCTCTACTCACTTAGTCGTGACCCTAGCGGTGCCCTATCCCCGTACTCCTACCCGTCCCCCCACGTCCAGTCCAGCCCATTGGACTTGTGTAAATCTAAAACCTTCCCTGCTGAGAAAGCTTCAGAGCCCGCCTTCAGTGCCAGTAAACTGTTGCAGAATTTGGCTCAGTGTGGCACAGCTTCTTCCTCCCCACCCATCCCCTCCAGCAAAGGGCTGGGCCAGGAGCTTGATGCCAGCAGGCCTATTGCCCTGTTGGAAAGGCTCAATGCTCCAATTCACAGGACCACCACCACTCCACTCTCCGACAGACCCTCAGGCAGTGGCACACCTTTCAGTCGGAAGGAAGCCTCTCCTCCTGTATCACAGATCGAGAACCTTCTGGAGAGGCGCACCGTGCTGCAGCTCCTTTTAGGAACAGGCTCGGCTGCTGCTACAGTCAGCCGCAAAGAAAGGCCCAGTGGGAGGAGGAGTGCGGAGGTGCCAGGGGCGTGTTATGAGAAGAGCCCCGGTGCCTGTGACACCTCCAATGGGCCTCCTTTGGATGTAAAGGTAAAAACGGAGATCATGGAGGGGGTGGGACCATCCTCTGCCATGTCTGATGACTTGACTGGCAGAAAGAGACACAGTGGCTATGAGAAGAGTAGCCCCCTCTCAGACTCACAGCAGGACTTAAAAACAGAACCACGGCCTGCAGAGGTCATAGCAAAATATGGCCTCCTCAGCCAGCTGCTTAAACAACAGACTGCTACCTACTATACCAGTGCTGCTATGCAGACTGAGTCACAGCCCAGACAGGTTAAAGAGGAACAGAGAGAGTATCCAAGCCCCAGTCCTAAGAAGCGACGCCTCTGCTCTGATCGGACTGACAGTTTGAATAACACCAGCTCTCCAAGAGCAGTGGACACTGGTGACACAAACATTTTTGCCTCTTCTGTTGTTCAGGAAGAGCCTGAACAGCAGAGGAGTCTGAAGGAAGAGGAGGCTCCATCCAGGAGCCCACCGAGTGAAACCCTCACCAGAGAGAGCCGGGGCTTCAATGTGCTCAAACAGCTGCTGCTCTCTGACAACTGCCTGAAAGAGCTGTCCCAGCAGCCCCGGGGGGCACCCAGTCCCTCTGTCCTACAGGCTAATGGCAAGGCCAACGGCAGCATTCTCAGTCAGCCTGCCCATAATCACAGCTTCCTCCACCTGCCTGGCTGGCACCCTCACGGTCCCCTCAACTCAGGGCTACAGAGTAATCTCAGACCACTGCCCACCCCCCCTGCAGGTGACAGCCCTATCCGCAACCCCTGGAGCCGCCACCCAGCTCCATGGCCTGTCACTCAAAAACGGGACCCCCCTACTCTAGTCAAACAGGAGCCTGAGAGCCCTGTGCGGTGGAGTAGTCAGGAGAATGAGGAGGAGGAGGGTTGTGACTCAAACCCGGACTCTCCCCGGCTCTCACGCTCTAACCCCATCCTGTATTACATGTTGCAGAAGGGCAGCATTCAGATGAGGAAGGAGGTGAGGGATCAGGCGGAGGGGACCCAGCCTGTGGTGAGAGTGAAAGAAGAGCCAATCAGTGACATGCATGCCTATGAACACAGTCTGCGCTCCACTCCGCAATCACCGACCCACAACGACAAGCACAGCCATGAGAGCCAGGGGCTGAGCCAATCATCTGACTAGAAGTTGTATCAACTACAGAAAAACAACAAACGGAAATCAAATTCATTGACTCTGTTTATTTTTCCTTTTTTTTTAATGACTTGCCAAATTGGTTTGATGAGACAAAAACAAAGAATGCAAAAATGATTGTCCATTTTTTTTTTATTAGTGGAATAGAGCAAGTTCAACTTCAAATGCGTACTTGCATTGCTTTCTCTATTTTTAAATAGTGAGGTCATGGAATGGTACAAAACAGATCTATTTTGGCAAAATGTCTAATTGATACAACCAAATCTACACAACTCTCAAATTGAACCTTTCTCAACAGTGATTATCAAGCACTTCATATTTGATTTTGTCAGCCATGAAGTCCTCCTTTACAATTTGGTCTTGTTTTACACTTATTATTTATATCTTAATTGCACACATATCACTGTTCCATGCCCTCTTTGTTGCCTGCCCTAAAACATTTAGAGAGAACACTTCATGCAACATTTATAATTGATGACTCCAAAAATGTTAGCGCTCAGTTCAGTGGACATTTATTTATTTTTTTCCATCAGAACATTTTCCAACAGAGTCCCATCAATTTTAGATAAGATTCCAAATAAAGTCACTCTAGAGCAGGCACAGCAGTCTATTACAACAATGTACACGATGCATTCATTCAGAGGAGGTGGTCAAAAACAATATTCACACTGCAATAGCTTCAGTGAAGATCTTAACATGATGAATGCTTTGTCTTGCTTTTCCCATGGTTTGATTACCAATGGCGCGGGAATATATCAGCGGAGGTTCGAATGGTCACAACTCATTGTGTTTTGCTTTTATTTGAATTGAACTTTTAAGGCCAACATTCGACGGTGCAAATTCAGGGGATAATGTGTTTGCAGATTGTGCAGTTTCTGAGCAGATGGGTCAACAGAGCATGTGTGGTGCTTACAGTTGAGCAACTGTGTGTAAACAGGTTTCTAGAGCAACAGTTAAAAGGCTGCAGTGTCTGAGAAACTTATCTTACCATCCTGGGTAAACCCACGCCACTTTTTTTTTTTTTTTTTTTTTTTCATGCAAACAAAACGTTTGAATGTGAAGCACATGGCTTTTTCTTTTCATTTCACCCGGAGTTTGCACTATCGAAGCTGAGTTCTCTGTGTCCTTTTCAGAATAATTTAATGGCATGTAATAAAAAGAATTGTCAGTATTGTTATCTGTTGGGAATTTGACAGTTTGTGATTTTATTTTTTCATCATTTCTTAACTGTTGTGGTTTATGGACATCTTTTTTTTATTTTTGTGGCAGTCTCGTAACTCATAAAAAGTCAAAAGAATTGCATGATAATAAAGAGAAGACCACAGGTACATCTTTGTTTTCAAAGCAGCTGGATATGTGTACCTGCCCCCCAACAATCACCAAGACATGTTGGTGTCTTGAGGGATATCTGGTATCTAGCTCCTTATTTTGATTGTACTGTATTCTCTTCAGTTCTTCTCACACAATGCTTTATCCATTTAGTCTTGTGATCTTTTTAATACATATACCTATGATGAAGTATGTCTCTTCGATTATTAATACATTTTCACAACGGTTAAATATATTTGTGTAAATAGTACTTTCAGTATGAAAGAAGACTATTTTGTAATGTTTAAGAAAAGATATTACCCTAGTTTTTAATGCCCTGATATGTAAATATGAATTATATGCGTACAAGTGTACATACAAAGGCAGAGGATGCTATGCCCACCTTTTTTTTTTTTTTTCTTTTTTTTTTGGTTGGTTTGTTCTTTGCATGTGTCTCTATGTGGTAAATGATAATCTATCCTGCCCTGTGTTGTGTAATAATGTCTGACTCTCCTCACTGCTGCCTGTTGCATGCAGACGCATGGGAACTACCTGTGTATCCCTACTGGTGATGGGGGAAAATGTCAAGTCTTAAAATAGGTCTTTTTTTATCACAGAGAGCGGTTCGTTTAGAATATGAACAGTCTCTAAATAACCACAGACTGTTGAGCAAGTTGATAAAAATGTGTGAAAAATAAACGTGCATTGAATATTTTTGTGATTTTTTTTTTTTTTTTTTTTTTCTTTTCTTTTCTGTTACTGGTTAACAAAGCTCTGTGAAAGAGCTCGGGGCTATAGTGGGGGATTGACGTACAATCATAGATCTGCATTGTGCATCTAAGAAATACATTTGTAGCAGCAAATATAAAAAAAAAAAAGATGTTTCATTTTTTCATGTGAAGACCTGAAACATTATTTCATTTTTTATGTTTTCATTTTTGGTGTTCATTTGCACTGATATCTCAAAAATAAAGTACTAAAATGCATGACCTAGTATGAATGTGTTCCTCTTTTTCTAGCCATTCAGAATATTTTACATCAGAAGATGTTATGTGGTGGAAGCTCTAGTCTTTGAGTTGCCACCATAAAACATGTTTGTATTTCTTAAATTATATTAATCAATACCTTTTACCAATTATATTCTCTTGTTCAAGGGTCATGTGCAGCCTAGTTTTATTTCATGTAAGCAGTCAATTTTACAGAACATATTAACATAAAGCAGCCAATAGGGAAGTTATCACACATATCCCAATATCAGACTTGGGCGTCGCAATAAAGAATTGTATAATTAAAGATGGACATCAAAGTCAAAGTCTTTTGTGAATCAAAGACTAAAGTAGAGTGAGAGGATGTCCTGTATTTGCCCCAAAACGTCTGCTTCTGTAGTTGGCTGCTGTTCACTACAGTGCTGAGTCTTAACAAAGGCAGGAAAGACACTGAGAGGAGGGAGGACACAGAGAGGTCACCAGATGTACACTGAATACCCAAGGATCTGCCTTACAAAATGGAACACACATCTTCTGTTTAGAGCCTGAAATGGACCTCATTGTACAGTCAATGCAAAGCCTTAATCCGTGTTGTCTGTCCTGAAAGTTGTCTATTTTATGATCATTTTCTTGACTTGAGAAAAACAGCCTGTAGCGTGAGACTTCCTGAAGGTGAAGACGAGTTCAAGCTAAACCTCCCTTGCACTGGGTTTGAATATGAAGTTCAGTGAGTGAACAGACGGCTTTTTGTCTGCAGTGCACTTCTGAAAGCGCAGCGCAGTTCCTCAGCCCTGACTTCCCTTTTATTTAATCCTCCCCATGACTGACTGCACTTCTCTTTAAACTCCCTGTAACCTTTCCCCTCCGTGAACTTCTCCATTTCAAGATTCTTATCAAGGCTGAACTGCCAGTAACCTCTTGATTTCCTCTGATTGCTGAAACAGCGGCAAACATAAAGGAGGGAGCTACAAGTTTAAGCTGGGGTCAAGGTGTAAAACTTGACAATCGACTGTTTGTCTGTGGCTTCTCCCTTTAATTTCCTGACCTCAGCATGTGGCCAAAAGGATGTGAACACTGCGCACCAGGCCACCAGTGACTCAACCAAAGGCCAAGGACTCGGAAGTCCCACAACAGGCATTTCATAGTTACGAGGCCTCCAAAAACGATTTCCTGGCATTGCAGATGCTTATTCTCTGACAAACAACTTAATGACGGCACTTCATGAGCTCGGTCAAGAGTTTATTTACATGGGAGCAAACAACTGTTTAAAACACCAACTTCTCTTGTGCTTCAATTTTAGTGTTAATGAGTTACCTACTTGTTAGGTGTTTTGTTTATTCACATGGAGGCCATGCCGAGCTAACACTTGTCACTAGTTGTCCTGGTGATTGGTGTGATAAATATGCTCACAGATGTTTGATCACCCTCTCCTCATACAAGTGTCTGAACTCTGAGCACATGGGTCGACCTCATATGTTATGTGAATACACACACACACACACACACAGATAATGTAATTAGCATTTTATGGGTCACATGACCCCATTTGCAGCATAATAAAGAATGAATGAATAGAATATACTAAAACACCAGACTGCTTTCCTAACACACACCAGTAGGAGTCCTTCTGTACTTTGCCTGAAGCAAGTGCTACTGAGTGTAAAACACATGAGAGCAGCGCCTCAAGTCAAGAAAAGAGGTTAAAGCAAACACCTGGGGAAACTCCTGCACTGAGAAAGGATGTCAAACTGGTTTATTTTCCCAACCTTATACTGGTTCCCCCAGTGGGGCCTTAGCTTTTGAAGATGTACCTCTTTGTGAAGTCTGTTCCTTAACCTCCAGGGTCATGACCTTATGGCCCCTCCCTTGCCCTGACCTGGCTGATCCTGTTTCCCGGGACAGGATCAACTGTTGGCCTGCAGCTGTGGCAACCCCCCCCTCTTACCGCCTTTCTCTACACATACACACACAAACCACATAACACACCACTAGCACCTTCCTCCACTCTCTCCTCCCCTCCCCTCCCCAGCATTACACTCGAGCCATTCTTCTAAGGTTTCATGTAAATATGACAAGTGGCAGAGTGGCTTAAGTCCTTTCTTTTCTTTCATCCCTGATAGCCTCTTAAACTTTGCTGCTTCCCATGACCTCCTAGTCTACATACATAAAGCAGTAATAAGTCATAAATAAATAATAAGCCTGATGTGCAACGAGTTCACAGAAAGAATGGAAATGGATTATATATTTATATTGTTGCTGAAGTCAATAACAGCTATTTTGTAAAGCTTCCTTTCTGATGGCCGTGTGCAAGCATGTAAACAGTCTCAATGTAATATTCATGATGAGTGAGAGTCCCTGTAGTCCACAGAGCAGCCTGTCAGCTTGAGGGATCTTGGCTGACATTGAAAGAACATGGATGATAGTTGCCATGTCCGATAAGCACAAGAGTAAATGTTTTACAAACTGGCTGGGGAGAGCTAGCAATGTCAATCTCCTGTCTGCCTGTGTCTTCTACCTCTGCAGATCTTTTCACACAAGTTCTGCAGGTTTTGATTCTCAAAGATAGCAGCAAATCCCCCCTGTGGTCTATATTTTCAGAGGTGATTAATTTCACTCTTGACCTGACCTAAACGTCTTATCAGTTTAAACAATTAACAGTTGTCTCACCAATTTCTTACTCTTTCATGTGAAAAGGCTCATCCTCAGGAAATGTAT